ACCTTCCGCAGGTACCCAACGACTTACAGGCCTGGTTCTCAACCCACCTTCCGCAGGTACCCAACGACTTACAGGCCTGGTTCTCAACCCACCTTCCGCAGGTAGCCAACGACTTACAGGCCTGGTTCTCAACCCATGGCCCGAACACCTTATGGGGGTCGCGAATTGTTTTCTGTGTGGGTCAACGGCAGAAACGTAAAACGGGAAGAACACCAAAAAAAAAGTTTGTTTTTTTTAAACCAATTAAAAAAAAAAAAAATTTAATCGGTGTATTAAAATTGTCAAAAAATCTCGTTAATTGCAATGAAAGTAGATTTTTACCAAGATTATTTCATTGGAAAATCAAAAGATGAAGGAAAATTCTAAACTTGAGATGACTAGAGGTTGGCTCTAGCGAAAAGAACAAAAAATTGAAGATTTTTGAAGCTTCTCAACGAGTCAAACATGTATGCATCTTTCTTTCACAAAATGTCTTAAGTAAAAGTATAATAAAACATTTTAAAACTAGAAAATATGATTTAGTTCCTCTTGTTTCAAACTATTTAAAATACCTTTAAACTACCTTTAAAATACCTTTGGAGGTCACCGGTCACTTTCCTGCTTGGAAATTTAATTACGATTGTTTTGTTTAAAGGTATGAGAACCTCTGAGTGGCAGTATTAGTCAGCTCTCGATGATCTCTAAGTGACATTGATGAACGCACATCGCCGGTCGGACTGACAGCTAGTTGATCACTCGGCAACTAGGAATTTTAATTGGTTCATTTTATTTAGTTATTACTGAAGTCGTAAATTCTCTTTAATCTCAGATTTTGGTCTGTTTTTCTGATGTGTATATTTCTGGTGATTATTTTTGTATTTACTTTTTACGTATTTGGGTATGCCGTAAAGCTGTAGTGTTATTTTGAAGGGGAAGATTTAGGACATATGAAACGTATTTTCCGCACACATTTACCCATTTACATAGACGCTACTTAATCGTATTCGGAAATTTATTGTGAAAGTAATTTTTTCGACGGCAATTTGATCGAACGGAAATTTGGTCCAATTTTTTTTTTCAGTTCAAACGTTAAAATTTTGCGTGAAATTTCTTTTTGATCGTATTATTTCGTTTCAAAAATTTAACCCTAACCCTAACCCTCCGTAATGAATTTTTAAATCACGTACTATACCATAAATGCAAAAAAAATGCATATAAAGGATTTTTTTTAAAATCAGTGTTTACGTTTTGTTTCATTAAAAGTTAGAACACTTTCTCCGGAACCCCGATGCACATAACTGCAGATCCCATGCAATTAAAAAAAACAAAAAAACAAAAAAACAACTTGTTAATCTATTTCAAAGAAATGCAATCAGCCCGCATTCATTGCTGTATCTGGCTGGAGGTATTAAAGGTAGACTTTGAACTCTTTACAGGCAACACATCTACTCAGCGGCGTAGGAAGATGTGGTGCGGAGGGGTGGCCGGTAACGGGGGCGGGGGGAGGGGGAGAATTTCTTCTAAATTATACCCAGGGGCGACATTTTAGGACGACTGAGGAAATTATTTCGTGGAGGAAGGCCACAAAAAGATTTTCTTTTGGCCCGCCCTCGGTCGGCGCCATACTTAGATACGCCGCTGTTTGTCAATGCTATATTTGAAAGATCATGATGACCGCTGTACGACTGTTACGATCGTGTCCTTTGGTGATGGAAATCAGACGTTTGATGAGAATTGTGCAAGTGAGCTACAGGGTTGAGAAGTCAATCCCATTCGTTTTACAATAAAAAAAATATACATAATATATATACTGTGGATGTATTTTCTTC